GAGAGAGTCCATTTTATCCGTTGGTGTTGATTTTTCGAAAAATAGTTTTATATAAGAGTGGGTGACGCACAAAGTGTGCACACGAAATCACATTCACAGGGTAAATTCACAGTTAAAAAAATCGCTTTCACAGTTGTAACAGTGATTTTAAAATCACGATTTAGCTCATCTCTAGTTGATTGCGATATTGATTAATGTGGGTGATTGAATGTTCGTGTATTGATTCGATCCACATTTTGACGGGACATTTGTTGCTTCGACGGGAATAACGATAATTGAAAATTTTGTGCTGCCGCACTGACTGCAGGTTTGCAAAGTATTGAATTCTGTTCTTATTTTAGTCAAGTGAATGGAAAAAAGCCTTAAAGGAACATAATACAGAGATTCAAGAACCAAAAATTTCTGTATGAAACCCAGCGGCTTTAGGGCACGACAAAATTAGCATCTTTTAGCACGTTTGTAATCAATTGTCTTCTAAAGGTAACAAAATTTTTAAACTGCCACTTGGGCCGCCTTGGAAGAATCCGGGAGCCAAGAGCCAACCCAGTTAATTGCAGTCGGAAAAGACCCAAGGGTTTTTATGACACTTTTAGTACCTTTCTAATCGGCTGTTAATAAGTCTTAATAAATTAATTTTTACAATGCAATCCTAAAAAACAGCCTGTAGTCGGTCGTCCATTTTTACAATGCAAAACGCAAACCAGTTGGTTTCTTGCTTCCTGCGGTAAAGTAGTAGCTTCCTGTTGCAAATGCACTCATTTATAGAAGTGGAATAGTAGATAACAATAAATGAAGCAGGAGTCAAATATTGGTCGACTTTAATCAGCTAAGGGATTCATTGAACTGCGTTCGCTCGCTAAGAAGCTAACGCAAGTGGCAATTTTAATTTTTTGCAACCTTTAGAAGACACTCGATTGGGAACACCCACATTCTAAATATCGCGTTCTGAATTTGAAATGCTGACAGGTACCATTTTGTAAATAGCATTTAATTATAATTAATTATATGGGCAGCTAAGCTACCTGGTGTGGGTGAAGGTGGGATGGATATGGGTGAAGAAGGATATTATTTGGATGGGCTCTGTACGAAACAGATATAAATCAGCATGTGTCCGCTACAGTGAAAGAAACAAAGCTTTCAGGGTTTTGTGATCAGTCGGCTTCTTTTTCATTTGCAACAAATTAATCGTTTGATTCTTTTGTACTTCGCAGGTATTTCGTTTAAGTGAACAAAGACGTTCACCGGTAGATCCGACGTAAGTCACCATAATTTAACACGGCCGAAAACCTCCGTTTTGCTTAGGCTGATTGGGGTCTTAGATAAATAGTGAACAAGTCCATGCGGGTTTAGAAAACATTAGCTAATTTAGTTCAGATACAACTGACGTTATAAAAAATCAAAACCGAATTTCAATTTACTCAAACGGCTTCCCGCCAGCCGCCAATTGCAAGCGATTAAAGCGTCACATAATTTCCGATGAAAGCACAAGTCCAGTTGGAAGAAAATCGTTCTGTTAAAGCACTTAATCAAGTTCAACCCCCTTATCAAAGCGAGTGTCGCTGTGCTTTAAATTCGTCCCTGTTTTAAAGAATTATTGCCCTTTAAAGTTGCATTAACTGGGCCAGTCGGCAGCAACAAGTGTCAATAAAAATCAAATAATACATGGGGTAAAGCGTAGTTTGTAAAGATAGGTCATTAACTAGTCGCCCCAGTGGCGTTGCCCCGTTCGCAGAACAAATAATTGACTCATTTTTTTATATCACCTGGCTCGAGTGGAAAAATAATCGATCTTTGAATTGAAACTGTTTGGGGCAGTGTTTTTGAGGCACTTAAATATTGGACTGCGTCAAATCACAAGACACATTTAGAAAAACTAATTACTCTTTGAATTAAACCGCATTGGTGGCTGCAGTCAAACAAAATTCAGTTTTCTAAAATTTTTCCAAGAAAACCTAATTTTTATGCATTAATTGTCTTTAAATTAACTGTCTTTAAAAAAAGTGAACTTTCTAAACTAAAGCAAGTAGCAATTCGAAATTTTCAATCGTTAGAACACAATCGTTAGAAGACACTCGACTTTGAAGATGCTCAAAGTTTCGTGAAAATCTACCAAGATCTGATTTGTCTCAGCTCAGGTAAATATGGGTCTAATAATCGATGTATCTGCTTAATTGCGTTCTCTCCTTTAAAAGTTCGGATCTTTCGAACTAACTCAAGTTTGTAGGGTTTCTGGTGGAACATGCTTAACTTAAAAGACTGAAAGTTGACTTAAAAGTGAAATGTTGTAAATCGTTGTTCCACCTGTGGACGATGGATGGTAGACTCGACCGACACTGAAAGTTTAATTGCAATCACTCCAAATCCTGATTTTTCTCAGTTTGACACTCTTGGTCCAGTAATGAAAGTTTGTATTCAAAGAATTATCGTTAAAAAATTCAGATCTTCCACACTAAAGCAAGTAGCAATTTCCAATTTTTTTTATTGTTAGAGGATGCTTAACTAAAGACTCTAAAAGCTTCAGAAAAATCGGCCAACATCCAGCTCTACAAATATCCGTCGAAAATGGGAATTTTGACTCAACTGCACATAGGCACATAAGCCTAAGCATAAGAAACACTAGGGAAGTTTCATAAAAATCGCCCAAAATCATGATTTTTCCAAGCTCGGTAAAACTCGGTTTAATATTGAAAATTCCGACTCAACTGCATTCCCTCGTCAAAAAAATCGGCTTTTCCAAACTAGTTCAAGTGCAAATTCAAAATTCTCGTTATCGTTAGCAGACACTTGACCCGAAAGACTCTGGAAGCTTCATAAAATCACCCAAATTTCAGATTTTTGCGAGCTCGGTAATCGACTGGAGCTGACATCTAGCGCTTCTGCAGAACTGGTTGCTGAACTGATACAAACCGTTCTGGACAATATCCAGAACGGGCTAGGAATAGTGAGTCCCTATAAACCCGTAAAGCTGCGGGTCCCCTTGATACTTTTGTATCGCAACAAGTCGATTGTTGCGGCACATTTGTTGCCGTGCTGTGTTCACTAGGCGGCCAATTGCACGCTAATTTTGAATACGCAGCATTGTATCATGTATCTTATCAAAATCAAAATTATGCAACTTCTGTTGTGCATACAAAAATACTTATTAACGAGAGTAATTATTATAAGAGAAGAGTCCATGAAATGATACAGATTAAAAAACATAACAATGCTATGAATTTCAGATCGGATATCGACAATCTTAGCTCAATATATCATACATTAATTAAATGAAATAAACATAGAATATAAACTAACACCCGGTATATTGAGGAATTTTGCAAACCAAAAATAACATTCTCAGAATGCAAAGAAAAATAGCTGAAAGTAAAAGAAATCGATATAAACAGTATTTTATTCGCTTTGTGTCCAAAATGGACAAAATTAATACTCCAAATGTATGCCAAGGCTTAAAGCAGCAACAACGCTACAAGTGTAAGTAAAAATATTTAAGTATCTGAACAAAGATTCTAGTCTCTTACCAAATTTCATTGTCCTGACTAATTACCTGTTAGGCCTAATTGATTTTAGAATGTTTTAAAGTGTTGCAATTGTGATGTATTTTAATGTGTGATATGCTGAAGCTGTTGACCAACTGTGGTTGTTTTTTAAATTAATAAAATTTTTTTTTAACTATTTGTTATTTTGGAAAGACTGATGATGGCGGAAAAATACACCGAAACGTATTTTAATTGATAAATAGAGACACTAAATGACTGAAACCCAGGAATGAATTTTGATTTGGAATATTTTCAAAGTGAGAATCTTGCAATCAAAATCAAGCAACTAAATAAATTATTGACTCACGCGTTTGCTGAATTATTATTTAATTTGAGGCGTACAATCGTGCTCTATGAGCCCCTTTGAACACGTCGCGAAGCTCTTCCACCTCCTTGTCCTACTAAAACTATGCAGCAATTTAGGTGAATATTTAGTTCAGCGCCAACCGTGTTGGGTGTTTGTGAGCAGCAGATGAGACTTTCTATTTTCTGATCCTCGCTGCTTTCAACGAACGTAAATGCGGTTTTCTCTCCGTTTGCATTAGAAACTCGAAATTTTCTAGACAATGCGCGGGCCATAGACATTTCTATGGCATTGTATCTAATGCTACTCATTTCAGAAAAAAATGTTTTCGATATTGTGCTTAATTTTTCCAGAAATTGCAAGGGTTTGGCGGTATTTTGGCTCCTTCAACACTTCAAAGTTTATTTAATATTCTCCGCTAGAACGTAAACTGCTCTTGCTGCTGTTTTTTTTTCAAGATATACCAGATCTTGCACAACTTCGAGGCAAAAGCTCCAAATCAACTGTTGAATCAAACGAATTCTGTTTTTTGTCATCTTGTTATTTAGCGGTTCAATAATTAGAGTTTCTACTCAACTGCGTTCGCTCTTTAAAAAATGCGGATCAACCAAACTAGCGCAAGTTTCAACATTAAATTTGCATGCTCTTTAGAAAACTGTTGGCTCGAAAGGCTGTGGAAGTTTCATAAGAATCGCCCAGAAATTTGATGTTTGCAGGTTTGGTAAATATAAGTCTAATAATAATGGATTTATTGAACTGCGTTTACTCGTTTCAAAAATTGGATTCTTCCAGGATTTCCTCCTTCGGAGTGGGGCTTTTTCGCCACTAAATGAAAATAAACTCATGCAGTTTTTAGACAACAAGCTTTCATGCAAAATTATCGGTAATTTCGAAGCACTTGTGCAATTACCACCTATAACATCTGCAATATTAGTTCAATTTTCGGAAAAGTTGCATTTGCGGTTTTATGGCGATTTGGGAAATTCGACTTTCTTGTAAATCTAAAATTTAAAAAATCTAAGGGATCAAGATCAGGACTAGAAATTGGCCTCAATTGAAATAGCAACTTTTTCAATTGACTAGTGTCCACACATGCAACTTGACGGAATAATAAAGCGGCAGTCATTAAAAAATGTTTACATTAAAGTTTTTTTCTTTAGCCCAGACACTTCTATTCACCACAGACGACCATTCTGCGACAATCCGGCCACTCCTTCGAAATGGCCACAGCTTTGTGCTCTCTCTTACTTGGAGCTGGTTTCGATGTCTACATGGTGTCCGGGTAAGGCTCTTATTATTTTGCTCCATTATAATCAAATTGAGTGTTGTTGACTCGAACGATGTGAAGAATGTGATCAAAATCACCCGAAATTTGGATTTTTATTCTCGGTAAATATCGGTCTAATAATGAGTCTCTACTCAACTGCGGTCTTTCTTTTAGAAAGCCGAATCTTTCAAACCACCGCAGATTTACTACACATTGGCTAATATCAGTTTCAGAATGAAACTTTTTACAGAACAGCGTTCCACCCATAAAAAATTGCAACTTTCAAATGAAAACAACTAGCAATTGGACATTTTCACGATCTTTAGCAGACACTGGGCTCGCCAGGTGCTGAAATTTTCGACAAAATCACGCGAAAGTTGCGATTTTTACGAGATTGGTAAATATCGG